ATAGACGATTTGCAAGTATACAAGTACTGTAATGAGTGCTCAGGAAAGTGGTCTTTCACAGAACTAAATTGTTGCATGGAAAAAGTTCCTTGGTAACTACTTATTACTGGGATTTTTGTCAGGTCTCAAGATATGTCATGGCTGTGTTGCAAATAACACTGGAAAAGCATATTCAGCTGCAGACTATGCCCCAAAGAGCTTGCAACTAAAATACATTTAAGGCCAAAGGAAGCAAACGTTCTTTTCATGGTTACTGTGAAATGTGGGAAATAAGCCAGTGTCACTCATCTGGGGGTATGTCCAGTAGCTGCATCCAGTCCTCTTGACTTCTCAATCTTTCTCTCAGTTGCAGGAAGGTTTTTCCCTTTTTCATCTACTAGAGTCATTATCAGGAGAAGGAAATTACAGTAGGATACTGGGAATGAAAGGAGACAAAATTTCATTTATTTTCCTGCTGTTTCACTTACTTCAATAATCTGTCACTATATACAAAACAACTGGTAAAAGGAGGAGGCATGGTATGTTCTCTACTGGTGCCATTGCATTTTTTAGCCAATCCAGTGGGATTATTCTTTAGCCATTAATCTCTTACAGGGAGGAGGCAGTGGATGGATCAAAACCCAATTTGTCTGTTAATTTACAAATTTTGAGCAAAAGGCATAAGCTGACTGAAGAAAGAAGTAGATGACAAAGCAGAAAATATTTTTTGGTATTTAGAAAGCTTCCTCTTGGATTGAGTCTATTCATAAGTAATATGACACACAATTCTGAGAAGATATTAGAAAGTCTCAATAGATTTAGATTTTCAGATTAGCTGGTGAGCTGCACAAATGTGACCTGAATTATGACTCTCCTGTGGTTTCTACTTATAAATACTTTTTCCAATACAAATAAATTATAAAATAAATTTAAAGTAATAGTTAATGAGAAAAGAAATTTTTTTAATCTCATGGACACAGGTACTTTGAATAGTGTAATTTTTTGCTGTGAGAACGAAAAAAAACTCTTGAAATCTCTTTCGTGTATAAATACATCCATTTACTTCAGTAGCATCTGTGAATCCAAGTTTGACCAATAAAACTCAGCTGGAATGTCACTTCTCTGTGTGTCAGAAAGATTCAGGAGAGGTTAGTAAGGAATCTGTGTGTCATCTTCACATCAAGACAGGATCCTGGGTTATAGGAAAGAAAAGAAAGCAGAATTTTGTTTTATAGAGTGTCATCTCCTGTATGTACAGAGCTATTACTTTCCTCTCTGGCAGTGAAACCATGTACTATATTTAGGAAGAAAGAAATAGTACTTAGTACTAACTATACTTAGGAAGAAATTCTTTACTGTCAGGCTTGTGAGATGCTGGAACAGGTTTTCCAGGGAGGTTATGGATGCCTCAACCCTGGCAGTGTTCAAGGTCAGGTTGGATAAGACCTTGAGCAACCTATTGCTCTATTGAGAGGTATCCCTGACCATGTAAGGGGAGTTGGGACTAGATGGTCTTTAAGGTCCCTTCCACCTCTTAACATTCTATGATTCTACGAATCATTCTATGATTTTATGATTTGAAAAAAGAAGAGCAACAAATCTTATCCAAGTGCTTGCATAATGTTAAGGAATTTTAAGGAAAATCTGATCAAGATGGTACTAAGACTATGAATGGAATTTTGGGTACCAGCATGATGTTGCAGAGAGCGCTACAAGAAGGCTCACCCAACTTTACTTTTACTCGCTCAACAAATCTTGTGCTCAGTAATTAATTTTAACAACAACAACAAAAAGTATTAATAATTTTATCACTGATAGTGTTTTTTTCTCCCAGTCTCTGTTCTAAAACAGTAAACACAAATTTCTGTTCCCTTTTTCTGATTGTTTGGGGTTTTTTTTCAGGGAAGAAGGAGGTATTCAAACAATTGGAAATTTTTCCATCAAGAATGTGGAGATAATAGGTTAAATGGGGATGTTAAATTATGGTAATGGAAATCTGCCCCTTCCAGTATATGTGCTGGTTTTCTGAGCAAAATTTTCAGAAAATGGGATCTTAGCCTTAGGATTTGTATTCTTCCATGAACTTTTCAGGAAAGTAATTCAGCTACGTGAAGAACAATCCCTTTGTTAACAGCCTTTTAGAGTGATGTGTGTTGATTTAAAATTCAGAGAGATAAAAATAACCGGTTTAATTTTCAGATGTGTAAAATGTAGAGATCACTAGTTGAATAAACATACCATTTCTTGTAATGCTTATTTGTTAAAAATAAAGCATATTTTTTACTTGACTCATATGTCTGTGTTGATTTTTCTTATCTCTGGAGCAAGAGCTGCAATACAGATAGCATGGCATAGCTATTTACTCAGCAGTCATCCAAACAAACTGACCTGATTAAGGTGAAAATTTCTCGTTGCAGCAGTGTGTTAAAATTGGTGTGTTAAAATATTTGTAGTGAAAGGCATGTTCCTTTTGCAGGTTTATTTTAATAAAAAATCCCAAATTGCTCAATGACAAAATCATGTATTTTTTAATTTTAAAAAGGCTCCGTAATGCCTTCTGAGTATTACAATTTAGATGCTTCTTGTTCCTGTTCTGCTTAGGGGCTTGTTTTCCTGTTTGGACCTAGTCTTCCATGACATGCCACTATCTCTGCTTTATGATTATGGACATAGTGTATTCTCTGATGAATTGAGGGAAATACAGTCTAATAATGTAGCTACACAAGGGAATGAGAATATGAATCACTCAAACTTTAACATCTGTAAGGGCCAGAAGCTTGTATTTAAAGCTCCCATGGAAAATTTAATTCTTTTCTGCAAGGGGAAAAATCGCACAAATATTTTTAATTCCCTCTAGACACCTAGTTCTTATTAACTGTTGAATATGTAGGGTGACTTCTGTAAAATTCTGTGCAGAAACATAGTGTTGTGAGTGAAAGGCTCCGTCTGAATTTTTGTACAAATGATTTCTTCTGACAAGTCGAAGAGAAGGGTGATGGTGAGTCAAGAACATGTTGGGCTATTGATATTCTTCAGTCATACTCTATTTGTACAGAGAACTTTTTTGTTGATGTCTCTATTAATCCTTTCTCTTAGTTTGTAGCATTTGAGACAGAATGCATTTTTTTACACAAGTGGTGTGCGAGTGGCATGGCCCACACAGCTGAAATACATCTGTGTCAGCTTGGCATCAATCACTATCTGTGGCTTCAGGATAGGTATCTCTAAGCATCGAGGAACAAGCAGAAGTTGTATTTCAAAGCCTTGAAACCAGCAGCTGGTTTGAAAGCTCTCCAATTTGGGTAGAATATTCTCAGCTTGGATTGCTTAATCAATGCTCTGTTTTCACTTCATCGGCAAAAAATAATACAAAAAGAAAGCTTCTCTATTAACAAATCATTTGTCATTTCCAAGCTGGCTGCAGAGGTCTGTGCAGTCATGTCTACTGAGTCGCTAAATCTTTATGCCTCCTCCTCTTTGGAGAGGCTTAGAAGCATTACCCTCTATAGGGCTGATCAGGATGGCTTGTTTTAAAACATGTCAAAAATGTTGGACAGCAGCTTGTTAAAAACTTCCCATTATGGATCTTTCAGATTGACTGGCCATAAATTAATGCCAGTTCTTTTATTATTTTTAGCACAAGTTGAAAAGATGCTTACACATCGTAATTGAGACTTTAGGCTGGAGTTGGCACAAGGATGTAGTGCATCTAAGCTCTTCCAATTTTTCTTCATATTAATCCAAAATATTTTATACTGTCTGTCTATTTATTAGAAATCTCGGTAACTGTTAATCAGTGCAACTACAAGACTTTGCCCAGAGAAGATGTGAATGCCCCATCTGTGGAAGTGTTCAAGGCCAGGTTGGATGGAGCTCTGAGTAACCTGATCTAATGGAAGGTGTCCCTGCCCATGGCAGGGGGGTTGGAACTACCTGATCTTTAAGGTCCCTCCCAATCCAAGCCATTGTATGGTTCTGTGATTTTATGACTGTTGAGAAACTGCTTTTCAGAAAGGCTGTTTGCCCACATCTTCATTATCTTCAGCTCAAGTGAAGTGTCACTGCTTCTAAAAACTGCAGTTGACCTAAAGCTCTGCAAGAGACTATGAACTGCAACCCAGCCCTGCAGACCAACACCTCAGACCAAACCTGTTTGCCAGGGGTTTGTGTCCAAACACAGAGCAAGTGATGAGTGTGCGCGTATACCTGTGTCCACTCTGACTTCCATCAGGTGACCTTCAGTGCATTCTATTTGTACCCTGGTGTCTCATCTGCTTTAAGACAGTGAGCGACCTGGGGCTTGGAGCAGGTACGGAACAAGTACACGTTTCAGCTGACAAGGTCTCTGGCAAAAGGGCAGGTGTGGGCAGCCTGTGGAAAATCTCTGTGCCAGAATTCGCTTGAGCTTGGCCCTTTGGTGCCTACAAGGTGAACAGGAGATGGAGGAGAGGAGAGCAACCCTCCTCCTTTACTCCCTTACAGGGGGGTTAGTCCCTATTGGAGAGAAAGAAGGGCCGTCTCTGCCCACAGGAAGAAATTTTTGGCTCTCTGCCTTTGTATGCACCATGTGAGGGTGTGAGCTATGTCTTTCCTCTCATCCTCTCCATTATACCACAAAGACAGGCTCTCCTCTCCGTCTATAACTAGGTTTTCAGAGCTCAGCAAAGGCGCAGACCCATATTTTGCCAGAAAATGACTTGACATTTTGTTAGTGCCAGAGAGAATTGGACTCTAGTATCCAAAAGCTGATTTTAGGTCTTTTTTTTGAAGACTACACTCCAAATTAAATAATTTTGTTGTCTGACCAATTCGCAGTGAAGAACTACATCTCTGTTTCCTGTCTTGTATGCTGTAAGTGCAAATTGATTATATTATGTTTATTGTACTTTGAACTTTAAGTTTCCAGGAAAAGAAAGGAAGAAAAAATAAGAGGAAGATTGTGAGATAAATGACATCATATAATTCACTCTGGTCTAATTTGTGACTTTCAGATTTTGAGCATTTCTTAATTTGATTTGCAGGTGATGATCTGCTAACAGAATAAATAAATCATAGATAGTACTGAGACTGCTCAGCCATTTGCTGTGGTATCACTTCTACATGAGGTACCTGTATCCCTTTCTTTCTTCGAGTATGTTCTCTCTTGTGGTAAGTTTTTCAGACGTATAATCTTCTGTGTTAGGGGTTTTATGCACGAGTGAGATGAGTTCTGAAAAGTCCATCCCTGGACTAGATCCTAGGTTTTGTTGTCAGAACTGGAAGCTATAGTCAGGAAACTTAGTTGTATTCTTGTAGAACACATGAAAGGTTTAGTAAGGCTGTGGAGTGTAGCCAATATCACAGAACTAAATTACAGGTGTCACTAACTGTAGTTTTTATTGCCTTCGTCCCCATGAAGTGGATTGCGTTTGCACAGTGTGTAAAATTTTTCTACTTGTCTGATAACCTGAAATTAAATTTTTTAATACTGGCACCTGTGTTTGCAATTTATGACTTTCAAAGTGATGCCAGTTCCTCTAAATAATTAAAAAAGACCCTCTTGTCCAATATTAAAAACAAACAAACAAAAAGCCATGAATAATTCTGACAACTAACCTTTGGAATGGAGACCTAATTAGTTCTTATTGAGCTTGGTCCAAAGATCATTGAAGTAATTTGGAGTCTTTCCATTAAAGCTAATTGACTTTAGAGCAAAACTCTTTCTCAGACACTGGTTTAGCAACATAGCAAATAGTCACCCTGTCACCCATCAGCAACATCACCTACAGACTGGGTGTGTTAGCTGTTCTATTTGATGTTGTTTCTGGAAAAGATGTTGCCTAAATTGATGATGCCCCTGTGGGCATATAGAGGATGTAGAAAAAACTTTGTGCCCTGGGTACCTGTTTATTTGGCAGTCACCAAAGCCTACAGGTTACACTCATTCCAGTGTCACTGTCAGGCTTTCGTCAGAAGTGTCAACATTAACAAGATTTTAAATTGTGGGCGAATATAGAACATCATTTGATCCTGGCGAAGAACTGTTTGCCTCAGCACTTGTGGGATAATGTAGAGTAAGCAGCAAATCATTGATGAATCTGTAATGCAACACCACTCCCAGGAGTGCTCAGGCAAAATTGCTGCAAAGAAGAAGGAAAGACACCAGAAGTGATTAAATGCAGCGAAAGATTTTAACCATAAAGGAAAAAAGAAAAAAGAGTACAGAATTATGAGCATAACCCTTTCATTCTGGCTTAATAAAGACCATAAGGAACCCACAGATGCTGAATGTTTGCTGAACCTTAATTGGTCTGGAATCATCCTTTTATGGATGTTTCTTTAGTTTTATGCCTGTGGTAATGTTGACCTGTGGCTTTTAGCTACAAGTTTCTAGTGAAACTTTTGCACATTCTACCAGGCCATTAATTCTCACCATTGTTAAACGCCTTATTTGCTTTTGTTGTCCATAGAGATAATTAATAAACGTAAGTAAAAATATGCATTGATAGAGCAAGGTATTTAATATTTCTTTGTACATTTAAAACGTGGAAAATTCTCTGACAATGTTCTGCAATACTTAATGGAGATTAGAGAACCTGAGTGGACTTGCATTGTCAAAATGGTACATCACATCTGCCAACACAGACAGTTGGCCCTTAGCCTAGCATTTCAGTGGATGCTTACTTGTTCTCCATCTCTGTTTTGTTTTGTATCTGGCTGCCATAGTTCTAATATAGATCCAGTGGGGTCTGTGCAGGTTCTTCCACTGTAATAGTTGGCACTTGTGCTGAAAGCCTTGGTACTTGGGAGATCCCTGCTCAGTTTCCATCTCTGTGGTGTATTTCCACTGGGAATATAAGTAAGTCACTCTTTGCCCGGGATTGACAAAGGTACTTTCTTATGCTTGAATAGTCTGCTTTGTGACATAAGTTTGTTTGCTGCTAAATTGCTGTACCTAGGGAGTAGGGTTCAAATTCCATTTGGTGCCCCGGATTACTTAATGTAGCAATTTAATTTAGACAGTTTCAAATAATGACATCAAGATAAAAAAACCCCACCTCCCTATCACATTAATTATCCTCAGAGTAATCCACTCCCTTTGCAAATTTATTTGAGAAACTAGGCAAGGTTATACTGCAGTATTAAATACAGTCATCTCTTTGGATGAAAGTATTTGCAAAGCTCCAGCTAATACTCTTATGAAGTTTAGGTTAGAGTATTATGAATTTTAGATTAGAGTATGCATTCCACCTACTGATACAAAAATGCTGAGTTAATGTATCAAAAATAAATATTTATTCAAAGAAAACAAGGAGCCTTTAAGTGAGCGTTCTGAAAATTTCAATGCAATTTTGCAGTCTATTGTGTTGCATGAATAGTGCTTGAAGTATTGTTTTTTACTTTATTTTAAATATGCTTCTTTATTGTTGGAAATTAAGACACCTTTTACTTTGCACTGGCTGATAGTTTTGGAGGTAGATGGAGATGGTTGTTAGTCTTTTATGATTTGCAGCAGTGGGGATGTCCCTTCAGACTATATTGGCCTAAAATGATGTAAGATCTATTTAAGATCTTACATCTAAAATGGTGTAAGGAGCTTCATGTTTATATTCGGGCCAGTGGACATCCAAAAGGATTTGTCTCCCAAGTACCATCAGAAAAGTGGTGGGCAGTGTGGATGGGCTTGGCAACGAAGCCCTGCCTGTTCCATGAAAAAAAGGCCCCACAAGGCTTTTCAAGTCTGCAATAAAGCACAAGATCAAGGGATTAGGCAGGAGGGAAGAGGAGAATCTACTTTTTTTTTTAATCTGAACTCGCAAAAAAAAAAAGAAACATTCTCTCTCAGGCATGACCAAAATGGAAGGCAATGTCTTACTGACAGAGGAACATATATTTAGCACCATGATTTATTGAAAGTGTGTGTGCTTGTTTCCTGAGAAATACATAGAGCCTTTTGATAACACTAGATGATAGCAATCTGCTCTGTAGGCAGGTGTGCATATAATAGATGTGCCTGAGGCATATTTGCCCACATTGGGTGAATTCTTTTTTTGTTTATCATACTACATGGTTTAGTTTTATTATATTGACTGTTGAGAACAGTGTCTGCTTAATGTTGGAAATCACTACCTTATTTATAGGTATGCAGATTTTAATAATGCAGTAACAGTAATGATTTTTTCTAAGTGTATGATAAAAATAGTGTCAGTATTTTCCTGTGGTTGAAAATACTTTAAAATTGGTGGACTGGTCAAACTAATTTTGAAATAATCTATTTTTGCTGTTGTTTCAGATGATGTAAATTAATAGAAAATGGACTCAATCTGGCTAGACAATGCTTTTGCTTTTTTGAGAGTCTATGCACTATGTTTAGGAGTCTTGCTTTATCCTCTCAGCTGAGATTTAGATGGGATCATTTTCTTTGAAGTTTTGTTGTTAAGGTTCCAGATCAATACAGGACTCATGTTTGCATGTTTTCGAGTACACAGGTACTTCCAGTCCATCTGAAATCAGTGAATAAAGTTCTGACTTAATTGATGTCAATGCCAGAACTCCCAGTCACTTCAGAGAGGCCAGACCTAATCACGTTTTTCAACTGAGTAATTTTGGGGCAGGGAGAGGGAGGATTGTTCTGGTTTTTTACCAGTGAATGAAGGACAGTCTTATTTTAAGATTTTAGATACAGTGCAGATATCTGCAGAGAACTGTCTAACATAATTATTTCAGTTCTGTAAAAATCTTCTGGTTTAGTAATTCCCATTTTTTATTTTGTCCTGCCTTTTACATTATATATTAATGTTAACTATATTACTATGATGACATAAAATGTAATCTAAAATGGTTCAGACAGCATTTAGATACAATTGATGCAAAGATTCTAACTATATCAAACTAAAACCGATCAATTATATAAAAATAAATTGGTTTGTAGTTACCAAAATGCTTTTGGTTTAAATTCCTGAATATCTTTTCTTCAAGACATTTGTTTAATGGGAAACTCTGGAGTAGTGACATTCTTTCTGATTTAGAGCATAATCAAATTTTGAAGGGTCAGGGTTTCCTGCAGAACAGAAATTTCAATTTTGACCACCTTTCAGTGCAGTGAGTACTAAGTTCACTGCGACTGTTTGCTGACTCAATGAAAAGCTGGATGCTAAAGTGCTGTTCAAATGTGGAGCTTAGCTGGCTAATGTTATTCCTGATCAAAATAATGTGAACATATGATCATACTGCTGGACAAATACATTGTCTGTAGTGCCTTGATTTATCAGAAGATAATGAGTCATTTTATGTTTACTCTTACTCAGACACTCCTCCCCATTTCTGGTTGACAAGATTTTTAAATAGAACCCAAGCTTTTGTAGAAAATAGAATGTTTATTTTACCTTCCTTCTGCACTCGGAAAACAACTTCATGACATACAGTCAGAAATAAGCCATAGCCACAAGTAAGTCCCATAGCCACAAATAAGTCATAGTTTTACTATTAAAAGCTTTTGCAATAGATTGATGCACATTATAACCTCTTTTATTGAACCTTTTATTAATTTCTACTTATTTCTTAATATCTTGGCAGAGCACAATATACTAACAACAACTCTTTATCCACTTACCTGGTAACTTTATCTACAGAGCCACAGTGTTGTTTATCTTCAACTGTACTGGTGATGATCTGAGATTGACACTGTTTTTACACTATTTTATACAAATATAGTGTCCTCTGTTTAAGTAGAATGGGTCTCAATTTATACATTTGGCTGCAAAAAATGGCTTTTTGACATTTTATCACATATTGAAAGTGCTGAACTCTTGGGTAATACAAGTGCCTGTCTAGTGGTAATATCCTCAAAATGTTTCTGCTTGTTTCCTAAAATATCTACCTTATCAGAAGTGTCGTTCACACAGTCATGGAGTCCTTTGTTCAAACAGGGCTGACTATGGTGTAATAACTATCCCTAGCTGTTTGATGGGGACCTTTCACATATAGGCTGAGTGACAACTAGTCACATAAACCTTCTTCCATTGTTATAATGGACCTGGAAAATCTGCTAAGCCCTGGAGGACAAGGGAGGTCAAGGAGTGGCAGGATATAAAAAATAATAGCAACACATTGTAAGTGTAAGCAA